CCATCTACTGTCTGAACCCTGATCAAGTACAAAGGCTTCCTCCAGGAACTAGAAAGTTCACTGTGCAATATCAGAAAGACTTAGAAAAGGTGAAAGAGAATATCAGAAAGGCACAGCATCAGATGATACAACAGGCAAATAAACACCACAGACCTTCGCAGTTCACGGTAGGGGGTTTGGTCTGGGTGAAGTCTAAGGAGTTTCTCCCTGAAGAGAACATTTCACAGAAGTTATTGCCTGCGTATAGGGGGCCATGGCAGATTCTCGACGTGATTGGTGATGTGGATGGTCCTTCCTACGTTGTTGAGATTCCTCCGCATCTGCACACTTACCCGGTGTTTCATGCCTCTAAGTTGCTCCCTTGTGTCAGAAATGAGCTATCTCCGTCTCGCGGACCTACGATTCCTACTGATATGGATGGCAAGTATGATGTGGACCGCAGTGTTGCTGAGGAGGTTTATAGATCGGGACGCAGGGTTAGACCCCAGCGGCAGTATAAAGTCAGATTCGCTTATCAAGAGCCTTCTGAAGATTGCTGGTTTACTAGGGATGAGCTAATAGAAACAGCACCGCACATAGTATCTTACTATGAGAGAGCTAGGGGGGGAATCAACATAGTTGATAGGTAAAGATTGTATCTTTCTCAGAGGACCTCTCAAGCCAAGTCGGTCAGTTTCAGAAAAAGTGACAATCGGGTACCTTAGGAGTCAAGTCCAACAGGCACCCAGTAAACAGTCACATCCCAGAGGCAAAGGTTGCATTCTATAAGCAAAAGTCACGTCTCATATTGAAATTCATATCGAAAAAGTCATATCCCACAGGCGAAGGACACTTCCCTACGCAAAAGTCGTGTCCCAGAGGCAAGAGTCACATCCCATAGTCAAAAGTCATGTTCCACAGGTGAAAAGTCGTGACTCAGAGGCCCAAGCAGCAGCACACCAATGAAAATTCGGGAAAGTACCAGGCCTTGACATTCTGAAGCAAGCATGCCGTGGGCATGTGGTACCAGTACCAAGTCAAACCAGAAGAAGCAGAGGCTGGGACGAGCTGAAGCTAAGTCCAAGTCAATATAAGGACTGGCCAGCCACATTTCAAGCAGATTGCTCATTCGTGGGAAGTGTGGAAGTGCTGCTGAGGCGCTTGTGCGCTATCTGCGAGTAGCATGCGCTCGAGAGCCCTGCTGGGAAGCGCTGCACTGAGAGGGAAGGCGGCCATAGCCGCATAGCTAGTGATAGGAGGTAGTGCTGAGTAGCAGCGGATGCATTCGGAGTCAAGATTCTCAAGTAGAGAGCAAAAGAGAGGGAGAAAGAGTGCATGCATGAGGAAGACCAGAAGGGAAAGAGAGAGAGAGAGAGAGAGAGAGAGAGAGAGAGAGAGAGAGAGAGAGAGAGAGAGAGAGAGAGAGAGAGAGAGAAAGAAGAGAGTCCCCTACCTTTGATGAGGATGCTGGTATTGGGTTATTGTATTGTGCACTGTTGAGCACTTGGTGACTGGATCTCCAAAACTGTTTAATGTGATAATTTGTTGGGATTTCTAAGCTGCACATATCTGGACTCTACATCTCTGGACTTCAGTGTGGATTTCGTGTGCTCTCTCAATGTGTGTGTGTGCGCTCATGATGTCGAGCAGTGAGTAATTTCATAGCCCTTCCCTAGATGCAATTCTCTCTTCCTTCGCCCCTGATAGCGCTATCCTGTTCTTGCCAAAACTCCCCGACTTCTCCTCGCTCCAGGAGCAAAAAAAGCATGGTGACCGCGGACCTGGACACCGAACACTTCCGGACTGTCTTCCGGACTAGTGTCTGGACCGGTCCGGACTGTCCGGTGATCCAGACATCACCAGACCCGGACAGTCCGGACTGGTGCCAGGGGGAGAAAATGTCCAGACTCCAGACCCAAAAAAAAA